CAAAAAAGATCTGGTTACAACTAGCTCTGAAAAGGACGCAAATTCAAGATGATGAGCATCAAATGAGATTACAGTGTGCGGTTTTCCATCAAGGAGAATTGAGCCAAACTACAGAACCACCGGTGAAAAGATAAGCAGTAGCTTATAGATCTGTCTGAAGGAGGAATTTCTGACCAGAATGAATAATTTCCCATTTGACATTATATGCTTCCTAGTGTTAAAGAGGAAACTCTGCTCCACTCCTCTTCACATTATTGCTTCCGTTCACTGAGGTTCACTCCACCAGTTATGTGTAAACTGCTGTTTAAAGGTCATACAGAGCTCTTTAATTTGGGCATTGTAGTACGTTCATTCTATTTATTTTTCAGCCTTTCTGTTGTACATTTTCTGATGGTTTTTGATTAACGTCCTGTTGGATGAGATCACTTCTGATTTACCCGTCGGACATATCTCAATCTCATATCTCACAATGTCTCCACAATATCGTGTTACTCAATGACTAGATCTTGCGGCTGCAAATAAATCACAAGTAATTAACTCTCCATCACTGCAGTTGACAGTTTATATGAGATTAAAATTAAATGACATATTTGATTTTCTTCACATGTGGTGCCGTGCATTATAACCAAACATCTTCTCTTTCTTTTCATCTATTCAAAAGGACACTGATCCAATATTCCTGAGTGTTGTTCAGATGCCAGACCTTTCCATAACTAAGCTAGGCTATGTTTTAGAAGGAACCCCACCAAACAAGTCTTTCTTGCTCTGTGTTTTTCTAGTTGTGCTGACATCGACACAAAGATTTAACATGAAAATTGAAGGGTTTGGGGTCGTCGGGTGTTTTTACTTTCTCCGCCTTGTGTGCTCTGACCTTTGATGTGACATTAGCTGGGAGTCTATTTCAACTAGGAAACTGTTCTTTTTCCACATATCAATAATTTATCACACTGTCGAAACATGGACTCAGAATTATGTGGAAATAGTCTTACAAACATTCACAAACTGATGGGCATGAACAGCTGCATTGCTAATGTCTTCCCCAAATTGTGTCACTTTCACGCACACCTGAACGCTCCAGAAGCGCAAACTGACAAAACATCTTCTTTTTTTCAGTTGCTAAAACATGCTGGTGATAAGTTGATCAGATGCACTTAATCAGCAGCATCTTAGTTTAAACATAGTTATCCAGAAAATCTTTGTTTCAAAACGTTAAAAGGGTAGGAATTTAATTTTTTTTTTTTTTTTTTTTCCTTTTAGAACAAAAAAGTACCTATCTTCCAACCTTTTTTGGTACGTCTGTACATTCTACTGAGTAGACACGTACATTTCTTTTTCATTGTGTATTCATTTCAAGATAAAAGATAAGGGCATTTTATCGGTGCTAAAAAATGAAAGGAACTTTGAGATCGTCTGAATGAATGAGTATGCATGTGCATAGGTGTAAGAAGTAACAGCACACCAACAGCAACACTTTGTGGGTATTTGTGTGGTGATACAACAGTAAATCCTCAACATTGTTCCATCAAGTGTGTTTCTGCTGTGCAGTTGGGAGACACAGAGTGGTGTTCACTCCAATCACGTACACATTAAATGTGCCCCTACGGGAGGGAATGAGGGCACTGTGTGTGTGAGTGTAGGTGTGAGTGGGTGTGTGTGTGTGTGTTTTAGTGTGTGTGCATAAGTGGGTTTCACTTACCCACTAAAGGAAAGATTTATGTGTTAGCAGTTGGGAGGTGTAAACACAGACATGTCTACACATTCACAGAACAGTCACACACTCACGCACACACTCACACTCTTATACACGCACACATACACCTGGTACACGACAAAAGGCTCTTTTTTGTTTCATTTGCCTCTAAAACACACATGTTATATGGCTGATTTATACACACACACACTCTCTAATGAAGCTCTCCTATACCTCACATGTTCATTAGTTCAAATAAGTCTACCCCACCCACTCTTTCTCTCTCCATTTCTAACATGCACATACACATGCACAAATGCTTAGGGCCCTGGGGGTGAGAGAGGCACTGAAACTAGTTGTGTGTTGGGTGTTGTCTACAGCTGGAGCTGGATCCAGTTACCGACACTCCCTATGCTTCACTTTTATAATGTAACACACACTGTAAACGATGACCACATATGCAACTCACCTAAGACTGGGTTTTACAGTATAAAAAACTGGCAGGCGACTCAGGGAACACACTCAGGAGAGCTTTTCCTGAGTTTCAGAGCACCAAAGTCCGCCAAGTTTACAATTAAGTGACAGCTCAGCAATTAGAGAAGAGGTGTGCGTGTTTAGGGAAGGGGTTAGGGTGGTGGTGGTGGTGTGGGGGTGAGATTGCGAGCCAACAGCCAAGTGCTCCAACGTTCAACTGAATTTGTTTGCATAACGATGGTGTGGCCCATCCTTTTTCCTTCCTTGTGCATCCCTCTGTTTTCCCTCTCAATCAGCTATAACAATTTCTCCTTTATCTCGTTCCAACACACTCCCCTACTTTCCCTTTATTTTCCCCCCAGTTTATATGTTTTTCCTCAATTTCTCTCTTCTCTCCATGTGAGTTTTATTGCGCATTTGAACAATCTGAAATCATTGTATGCTCAGCAGGGGAGGGCAGAAGCCCGCAGGCCAGCAGAAGAGGAAGAGAAGAGAACAGAGAGCAGAAACGAGGGTTGCAATCAGTCAGTGAATCAGTCAGAACAAATTAGAAATGAAGAGTGACAAAGACAAAAGGGAGATCATTAGTGTGTCCTCCACTCCCCTGTGGACCAAGTCAGATAAGGTCACATTAAAGTGTGTGACACACCTTCCTTGCTGGTGATGTCTGGCCTACAGAGCCACAAACAAATTATGGTAATGATAAAGATCTTTTTTTGCCTATTAAATTAGGGATGACTAACACCTGCAGAATTCAGGTGGAGATTTTAAAAACTGAAACGTCTTGAGGGAAATGACAGGCAAAATGACGTGGGAAAAGACACATAGGTGAACGTCAAAATGTGCTAAGGTTGAGAGAAAGGCATACACAGAGACACAGAAATGAGACATTGGGAAAACTGACATGAAGGTAACCAGACAGGCAGGTTGATGCTGTGAAGACAGAGAAAAAAAAAATCCAAAAAACAAAACATCTGTATACATTTGGAAACTAAGCGGCACCACTAATTGGGCATAAATCGTTACCTTGTGCCATGGCCGGCGAGGCCAGCAGGCTTCCTAATAGAAGAATCCACAGGTATGACATCATGGGAACGCTGTGTTCTGACTGGGGATAAAAACCGGGCTCACTCTCCCTTTTTTCGTCCTTTCACCAAGGTCAGTTCTTCGGCCTGGAGCTCTCAGGTGGGTCTGGAGGGTCTGGAGGGGGCTCTTGTCTGCGTGCCGGTGCGTTCTCGCGCGTCGGATGTGTGCCGCGTTGCTCCAAGGTGCGCGCCGCCGCGGATCAGTCGTCCTCCTTTGTCTGGATTGGGAGAGAGAAGGTCCAGTCTTTATTAAGGTGGGCGGGTCTCTCTTCCCCCAAACTACAGACACGCAGGGGCTGATCCGTCTACGTGAATTCAGTATGATTCCTTCATCCATTAATCAGCGCGATCGTTTTGTCTCCTGTTACAGCCGTACCTTTATTTGCGATTTGGATGCGTTCTCATGCCTTTCCCGTGCAAAAAAAAAAGCCAATTAGTTCAATTATGCAGAAGAAAATTGTGAAACCTGTAACCTGAAACAATGCCAAGATGAACAAGGTAATTAAAGGCTTATATTTCTCGAAAACAGTTGAAATATTTCCTTCATGGTATTTTTAAAAAGGAAAGACAATGATATATGAGGGAAGGCGATGAGTGACATGATCTACACACATATCTTCCTGTAGGATGTGCTGTGAGACATGCTTAACACTCTGAGACACAACTCATATTGAACATTCCCCGTACCCTTGACAATGATTTGTGTAATATATTATCACTGTGCCACTTTCTGTAATAAACTCGGATGAATGAAAACCCCACATTTTACAGACCTTTTTTTGTGAAAGACGTTTATCTGCTTTAGTGTGGAATTCACATTGGGTTTCCTTTTTTAAAAAGACACTCAAGCCCATGCTTACCCACGAAGTAAATCCAAATGAGGGACATTTTCCAATCCTGTACCAATTTGCCTTTTCCATTCTTTAATTGTTCATCCGGTTCTTCCTGGCTAAACTTGCATCAGTCGGTAGATGGAGCCATTAACAGTTGATCCTCACTCAATGAGGCGTCCAAAATCATGACACTTCTGTTGGGCAGGAAAAACACTCAAAATATATTTTTTACCGGTTGATCTTTTATCAATCCAACACGTGTCCAAAAAACTCATACCTTTTAATATGTTATTCAACATCTGCTCTTCTTGAAATGATTTTGTACCGAGGAGCATGTCAAAGAAGAAAATTGAAGGACAAATTGCAAACACAACTAACACAACACTTACTTTATAACTAAATAGTGGAAAAGGGTGGCGTTGTGTTCCTAAGCCTCCATTTCCACTTGCTAAAGATTTAATCCTCGCTTTACAGACACAATTGTAATGACACCTTGTACCAACAGCAGTAATGATTTATACAGGTGGTTTGGTAGAGACAAATTAAAGCTGATGCTGCATGTTGAGTGACAAAAGATGCTTACGTTAAAGCAACACCAACCATTATATGACCTGTCGGGTAAACACAGACACACCCATCTCATTTTCCTTTGACCACAGGTGTCATGCGCAAAAGCAACTCCTGCCACAGGCAAAAGATTGCATGTTGTTTAAAGACAAATGATCTGCAAATCTCTAACCTTTAAACTTTGAAGCAAAGACCGGTTTCTCTTGACATTTAGTCACGACCACAAAAAAATAGTAAACAAACAATTATGTATTCAAAACCAACTGACAAACCAGGAGGCGTATTTCCTGCCGGTCTCCATTGTCGACTAGTCTCTACATGCAAAAGATTTAATACAAGGATGCAACAAAATGGTTTGAAAGATGTTTATTAGAGAATTAGCACACCAATTTTCTTTGACACGTGTACTATAAAACAATTTAAAGCCTCCACTTGAGATTATTGTAGCAAACCGCTAATTGTGTAAAAACTTCCTTCAGTCAGTACAACATTTGGATGTCAAAGCCATTTGGCACCAACCTTTCCTGCAGACTGATATAAAGCAAGCTGTAGCTGCCTGTGTGGAATTAATCTTTAATAGAGGAGGCAACATTTTAAGGATTTACTCAAATTTCCACGTCTCGGTCACTACCTTTCATACATTGTCAGATAGGTTTATTTAAAGAAAAAGTGTGTCATTTCTGGACACATAGTTTGCACTCTGTATATTAAGGGAAAACATGCTGAATAAGGACGACATGGGACTTCCTGGTTGCTCTATCGAAGTAAAATCAGTACCAACAACCAGCATCTTTGAAACCTAACAAAAGCACCCTTCAGCATGGTTTATGAAGAAAGGCTAGAGGGAATGTGTTAGTGTAATGGCTTTCTAACTTGGTCACTGGAGGCAGAAAATACTTCTGATGGGAGTTGTTGACCAGTTCATCAACACCTTGATATTTCGTTAGATTTTTAGCTAACCTTTGACTTGTGGCAGTCCACTAGCAACGTCTTCCAGCTTTCAGGTGCTGATGCAGATTTGTGAGTTGCAAGTAACTCTAAAACGAGTTGCATGGGAGTGCAGCTTCACGTGGTCAGAGTTTAAAGAGCGTCCCGCTGTGCATTATTATTTAGGATGACAAACAAAAGTAAGACTTAAAAATATCTGAATTCAGTATCTTGATAAGTCGACTGTGTAAAGATGAGATCTTAAAATATGCATTAGCCACAGTAAAAAGGTTATATCCACAGGATGAGAGGTTCAGTTAAGAAACTAGAATTTTAAAAGCATTCATTTTACAAAACAATCCATTTAATTGGTCTGAATTTTTCCAAATTAATGTGTGTACAAGAAAGAAGAAAAATAAAAAAGGAGGTGACAGAATAATTATCAGTCGCAATGCAAGCAAGTGGAGCCAGTGTGGGGCTTCTCTCACTCCTCAGAATCGTGCAGTATAATGAGTGGAAGGTGGTCCCAGTCACTACCACCCAAGAGACTCCTGTTCTGGTGCAGAGGGTGGCCGGTGTATTTAGTGGCTCACATTTTGTTGAAACACTCCTTGGCATTGGACCACACCTGGATTCCCTGAAATGGTGTTAAAACACACACACTTACACACAGAGTTAAAATTTTGGGTAGAACTGCAAAATAATCTACATGATTAATCACTGGAAACAAAGTAGTAAAAAGCAAAAACATGAAAACAACAGAAATCCAGACCTTCTTACACATGCTGATCTGCATAATGGCATAGCTGATTAGTGCTTCACGTAAATCTTTGTCCTTCTGCTCCTTAAAACGGTCAATGTCCTCCCAAGCTGTTCGCACAAACTCTCTGAGGATAAGAACCAAAAACACCACTTGTGAGATGAGTCAGTTTTTTTTGTCTGATATTTAAAATCTTTATTATTTCAAACTGAAAGAGTTTATTTATAAAATTCTGTAATAATATCTCCGTATGGAAATAAAGCCAACAGCAAAGGAAACTGAAAAGTGTGTGTACTAATTGTCGTTTGGCTTACTGGCACTCAGCGTTCTTCTCCTTAAGCAGTTCCTCCCCCTCCTGGATACTCTGTTCCAGGGCGGCTATTCGGCTCTCCCTCTGTTCTTGACTCTCTTGGCCAAATAATTTAGTTGTCATTCCCTTGAGAGAAAAGATCCGCACCGTCTGCACTCCCACGCAGACATAAAGACAAATTAATAAACATAATTTTATCAATTTCAATCACAACACTTTCAAAATTAATCGATATTTCTGATAATGAGAAACCAGAAAAATAAAAAATAAAACCAAGTAAATAAAACTAACCACTGTTCAAATGATTTTTATGGTGGATGAGCTGTGTAATGTGTAACTCTGGGTGCAGTGGGCCACACACTGACAGCCACCAAAGCGTGGGCCGCACAGAGCTCCGTCAGTTATACATACAGATATTTATTCAAATTATGCTTTAGGGAAAAGCCTGTGAAGCCTGTGAAGCCAACAGTAACACATCTGATAAGGTCAAACACACTGCAGAACAGTGTGTTGTGTCTGAACTTCCAAAACTGCATTACTCCACAGCTTAAATATTCAATTTGAAAAAAAAAAAGTTTCTGTAAAGACAGAAAGAAACATGTCATGCAAACATGACATGAAAATTCAAACCTAAAGACAATAAATGTTTCAGAAAATTAGTTAATTGTTTTTAACCGATATTTATTTTTTAAATCAGTAGTGTAAAACAAGTGAATATCTAAATCATGAAGTTAAGAATCATGATCTATACTTCGAGTTTCTGCACAGATCTTCACATGCAGACATGCCTGCAGATAAAAGTGCTTGTTAATTGTAATGAGCCGATAGATGTCTGCGGAAAAAGGAAAGGATTTTAAAACTGCTTCAAGGGAAATTATTAAAGGCAAAGCATAGAAACATTTGACTGTCTCTGGGCACTGTTGTCAGAAATGTGCATATAGAATGGTAGTATAAAAAAATTTAATAATAAAAGATGAAACATAAAGATATCACTGATAAGTTATCATGAATGTGAGTGAGAAGGAAATGCTGGAGCTTCAGTTTGATTTATGCCCAAAGAAATGAAACAAGCATAGATAACCATTATTCATTTTAGGTTTTGGTGTCGAGCAAGGATCCATTTAAACATTGGAAACTTTTCTCATTTAGCCAACAGAAAGGAAGTTGTATTCTATCTGAAAATAGAGTAAATAGTGATCCAACATTTCTTCGGAACCATACTGTGAGCTTACCAAGAGTAGGGTTGTCACGATACTAAAATTTTCAACTCGATACCGATACTCAGAAAAATACTCGATACTCGATACCATTTTCGATACCACAAGGATAAAAACAAAGACCCCAAAATTTAACTGAATTATGACAGGTTAGTGTCTTTCATTTCAAACTGACCTGTAACTGATGTTATCGTGACTGGTGGCCCGTATTAATGACCCTACCCCTGACCCTCCAGCCTTCATAATTGTGAGAAATAAATATTTTTTTGGTGAAACTTGTTTGGACTTATTGTACAAAACTATTTAACTTCCAATATTTTAACATCATATTATGGATAGAGCCTAATTCAGTGTTTGGAAGATTAATTTAACTATTTTTAAATTATTGTCTATATTGCCATGAAGCAATTAGGATTTTCTTGCCTGGGATATTCCTTTTGGTGACGTAATCAAAATGGCCGATTGGATGTGGGCGGAGTTTTATATGTACTTGATTACTGTTGGCGTGTTGTAATTAGCCATTAGCCGCAGATAGCAGTTCAATGCTAACGTCTTGTTAATGATCATAAACAACGTAAATAAATACATGAATGAATCTGAGAGAGGGGGGCAGCGACGGCAGGTCAGCGTCGCGCGCGCGCGCTCGCGCGGGCTCGCGCGGTGGTATCGATACTTTTGAAAATGAGTATCGTATCCGGATACAACATTTTAGTATCGATACTTTTTAAAGTATCGATACTTTTGACAACCCTAACCAAGAGTAAACAACAAAATGAAGAACTTGAGGATTAAATGTGGAAATGTGTCATGTCTGGCATAAAAAGGGCCCAAAGTGTGCCTGTGAAAGTTACCCCAGTTGCCAGCTCTTCTTTCTGCTGTTTCTTGTAGGTGAGATCCTGAGCTGCCATCTCCAACTCATACTGGATCAAGTCATGTTTCCTACAAACTGACCTTAAAAAGAGAAACAAACAGATTTAATAAACGGTAATCTCTCATCGAGCACCAGGAAGGCACCAAAATACTTTACTACTGTCTGCTAACAATAAAGGCAGCAAATCAACAACATTTTTGTCATGGATTTAAAAAAAAGGCATCTTAGAAATATTTCCTAAAATAATCCATTTTTCTCTCAATTATTTGTTTAGCTTTTAGCTTTGGAAAATCGTGATATGAGACATTTGTAAAGTAGTAAGTACACACACAAGAAAAAAATCACCTACATGGTTGATATTGATTGATTGAGGAATAATTTAATGATTTCACACGGATAAATGAACTAATATATAATAATAGAATGTCCAAATAGTACTTCCACACAGTGGTTGTTAGATATGCATTTCTTTCCTTATTTTTTTACCTGACGGCCTCTGTGTAGAAGAGGTACTCCTTCAGCTGATCTGCATAGTGCTCCTCTTCTTCCAGAATGTCATCTATAGATGCAGCAAACCTAAACACAAAAACACAATCATATTCATAAATAAACAAACATGCTTCAGGATACAAGTATGTAGCTCTATTCATTAACTACACAGACAACAGATTCACGAGCTGGCTTCAGTGTTAGCTCTGAAAGAGGGCTTTTCACAGTCTGACACTTACGTGTCCATGTGGTGGCCAGCACTCTGAAGTCCATCTCCCATCTCTTTTTCTATTGCACTCCATTCACTGCAGACATTAAAATGCAGGCATATCAAATACACAACCTGAAAACTTTCCTTAACAATACACACACTATCTTTCTATCACTGTTTCATTGTGAAGCATCTAAAATTTTTTTTTTAAAATATCAGTGACAATTGGTGCATATTGTTTGCATGTGCTACTTGTAATTAAGAAGCTCAAATAGATTGGAAATACAGTTAGAGGGCCGCAGCTGTAGCCTAATGGTTAGAGCGGGCGGCCCATATACAGAGCCTTTGCTCGCAAGCGGGCGGCCTGGGTTTGAATCCAGCCCATGGCCCTTTCCCGCAGGTCTCCCCCTCTCTATCTCTGCCCCCTTTCCTGTCAAGCTACTGTCATTAAAGGCGACTAGAGCCAACAAAATAAAAAAAATAATAAAAAAAAGGAAATACAGTTAGAGCACATAATGTCTTTATCAGAATTAAAGGTTGTAAATGGATTAATTGCCTCGCACACATAGTTTTTTATTTTTTTATCATGATTGTAATCAACATCAACATGATCCAACAAGAATTTATTACCTGAAAACTCTCCCATAGTTTCCATGGACTTTGTAAACTCCATATAGTCTGTCTGCTACCCGCTGGAATAACAAGAATCACATTATTACTTTCCTTCTATTAATACTGAGAAACAGTCAGGGTTCAGCCAGGGGGAGTGAAAAACGTTAGCTAACAACAGACTCAACCTGGAAAAATAAAACGAACAAAATATATTTAGCAAGCAAGAAGTCTGTTTCGTTAAAGGGCTAAATGGGTTGAGATCAGAGGGTTTTCAGAACTAGCAAAACTTATTTGGATAATCAAATCGAGCAGCTAAATGAAACAAAGGCTACGTCTGTGTGGAGGGTAAAATGTGAGTTTGCATGGCTTCAAACTTACCGCTCTCACTCTGAGTAACTGAGAGATGACAGTGTTCAAATCATCACTGTAGTGTTTCAGTGCTGCGAACCGCCTGGATAACAACAATAAGTCATCTTACAAACAGTGTTTTTAGGTTTCTTAATAACACCCCATGACTGTTTCACACCTACTTGTCAGGGTTCTTCACTCTAAACATGGCATTCAAAGATTTGAGTCTTGAATCCACCTGACGGGAAACAGAGTTCATCACATTTTACACATGATTAAAAAAAAAGTAATAATAGGGTTGCAAGTTACTGACAATATTCTGAAGAAGCTAAAAAAAAAACTGTACCTTGTCCTGGAAACCTGTTTCCAGAACGGCGTCCCTCCAACCCTTCTCCTGAAAAAAGTTAAAAGACAGAAATGCAAGAAATATCAACCATTCTGTTTAGAAATAGCTCATTTGGATGACTGACAACAAAACATCAAAAGAGGCTAAACTGGGTTGAAGCATTTGCTCAAGGCTTAGATGAAATAGAAATCCAGAGAGGGTTTGATGTTTACATGTCTCAAAAGGCAATAACTCTACAAAAAGTAGTCATTTTGAAAATATGACCATGGATACAATAAATATATTCTCAATTAAGTTACAGAGCAAATTAGAAAATTGAGGTGGCAGTGAGACAGGAACCATCTCAACTTTCATTTTGACATGACAGCGATTAGTAGGATCATCAAACAATTAATTTTGTTTAATCATTTTAGATGTTACTGTTTGCAGTAGCCTCCAAAGGGACAGTTGCACATTTGACTACTGACCTCTGTGAGAAAAAGGAAGAAGATTTTGTCATTTGAAAGGACAGGATGCGATGCGACACGCAGAAGGAAGTTTTCCAGACCAACTCTCCGTCGTTCGACAAAGTCCGGGTCGAGGTTGTCGGCAGAAAGCTTATGCCACACAAACTCAGCCTAAAAGAGACATGAAGACATGGAAAGAAACAGAACACAAGGTAAAACACGAGGCTGCAAATCATTTACACCAGTGGCGATAAACACACGAGGAATGTTGGGGTTTCTTTTCAAAGTATATAATCTGTCACTCACTCTTTTCTCTGGCAGTGGGGGGATGATGATGTAGGAATAGGTGACCAGCAGGTACGTTCTGAGGAGCTCAAACTCACTGTAGCGCCTCCACAAAGTGTCCGGCGCAGCTGGCGTGCCTCCCTCTGGGACAGATTCAGCTGGACTGCAGGCAGGGGAATCACTTATTTTATTCTGTGTTACCAGCTGTGTTTTCACTCCACCGCCTCTACCGAGCTGCTGTTTTCCACAGCTGCATATTAGGCTGGTTAGATACAGGGCTACTGTGAAACCAGGATAAAGGATCACATGATGGCAGATAACAAGACACAGAGTACGACCTACCGTATTTCTATGAGGTAGACTGTGTAGATCTCTTGCATGTTGACCGTGTTTTTTCCCGTCCTTTTCTCTGCCTCTGCCACACTTATCTCCATTTTTCTCAGCAGGGCCGTGCCTCTTTCCACCATCTAGAGACCAGAGGAACGAAAGATGAGCCAGAGAATCAGGGAAATAGGTGTTCGTTCTTGTAATGATGTGAAGAAAACGCACATAGTCTATCTTGGCTGAGGGTAAACCTGAGCGCAACGTGACAACAGGCGTGTGCAAGTCACAGGACAAAATGCCTTTAAAAACTAACGAAGTTCCCAACAACTTCTGTCGCCTTACAAACTACAAATGGTCTATCGTTCAAGACAATAGGTCCACTGTGTCTGGACAAACGAAACGGAAATGAATGAGGATCACATTAAGTAAACAAAACTTACAATTATCGTTCGGACTAGCTAACAAGGAAGCTAACTTGAGTTTTCAAACTGAATGCATTCAAAACCTGTTAGATTTTTTAGTCACTCCAGCAACCTTTTAAAAAAACTGAGGGCAGAGTTGATAATTTATATCGATTCGTATTTACTAAAAGTCCAACTGCTTTTCAAAAACAGGGAGTCTCCGTTGCTAAACTAGCTTACTTAGGCCCTATTAGGTAGGTTTTGGCCAATGAAAACTGTCCTGACAAACTCAAGCATGTATTGGACGGCGAGAAATACAAATATCCGACCGTGTTTATGATGTTGTTCTCTGATTCCACTGAAGTGATGTCGGTGTTGCCAATCACGGCCACTTCTTCGCCACTTCCAGAGTCTGCCATGATCATCTGACTTCCGAGTTGCTGCTGCTGTCAGCTGAGCTGGCAGTGCTGCGTCCGCCGATCTGCGCATGCGCATGGTCCCCGGGCTCAAGGAACATTGATTAAATTGCCACCTGGTGTCAGATCATTTCTATCTTGTCAATCGTTTTTTGGTTAAATCATTTTTCATTAAACAGAAGACGTTTTGAAAGTAAAAATGCCAGGATTGAATGGAATAGCTCCAGTTACCACAAAAGGTTTTCACACAAATAGCTGAAAGCAACATTTTTATAACGGTCTGTTGGTATGGAGGACTGCCAGCAATACTGATGCACCTAAGAAATTGTTTCACAAAATTCCCTCCCGTCTTCATGCAGCTCCACGGTCCGTGCATTGCCATAGTTTGCATCCACTTTCTTGTTGGCAGGGCTGACATCTGCTGGTGTGATTGGGATGAGCCGGCTGAATAACTATTTCAGCCACTATGTTGATATTGTTCCATTTTTTCCCTTTCTTAATTGTTGAGATTTAGGAAAATACTTTGAGCCTCAAGTAATATGAATAAGTAATATAACATTTCATGAACTCAGGGTCTCAGAGAAAAAAATGAGAGCCATTTTTATCTTGACCTCTATAGCTTGGCTTCGTGGTCTTCAAGAGACGTAGTTTTTTAAATAAAAAATGTGCCATGCCTAATGAGTTTAATCACCGCGGTCATATCCGTTTGTTTCTGTTTCTATCCTTTCTATTCTTGTTTTTTTTTATTCGTGCATGTTGGGACTCAGATCTGTTTAAGCAGAATGCGGTATCCCTCAGGCCAGTAAACAGCACAGAAACATGGCACTGTAGTTCCTGTGGTCACACTGTTGTGCAGTGTTTAATGTTTAAAAAGAAGGGTGGGGCAGCATTTAGTAAGGAAGCATTTCATATAATGCCACTGGGCAAGGAGTTGGGTGTTGGAGTGTTGTGGGATGTAGGATAAAAAAGAGAAATGGAATGAAAATGAATAAAAGGGAGGAAAAAAAGTTATTAAACTTAAACCATTTCCATTTAAGGTAAATTGATCAATAGGATAGATGCACCAGGTTAGGAGGGATGGAAGGGGTAATGGTGGGATGCGGTTTCAGGCAAGCAGCGTGTCCGGAAAACCAAAGCTTGCGCTGTGACCAGTCGTTGTCTCAGCAACTGCATAGTTACCATTCTTTCCTGCCACTGACCTCAAATCAGCCGCCACCACTTCCTGTCCGCACACATGGGCATTCATACATATACACTGACACACACAAACCTCTAGTTCTATTTGGCTGCCCGTAATTGGCTATTTGACAAGTTTTTATAACAGTCTGACCAATGTTCTTAAACACCAAATGATGTATAGTGTGTGTGTGTGTGTTTGTGCTGTGCATGTGTTTGTTCCTGTCAAGTCTATTTTTAGAGGTCTTGAGCAAGCTGCTGACCACCTATAATTTAGAAGCGTGCATCATTCACACAGAAATGACACATTTAAAAGGTTTAGTAATAAAAAATGGCTAATAATATTGATAAACTAATCAGTGCAGAAAGAACGAGTTTGTAGTTTAGTTTTTACTACAAATAACAAATAAAACATTCAAATGAAACGTAATATACTGAAAGTCGCACCATCAGTTGGTTTGGTTTTTGAACAGCAGAGGGAAGCAAAAACTTTTTTTTTTAAATCAGCGGTGCATCAGTGAGAAAGAATGACTTTAAGTGCAGATTGTACCTTGTCTTTTTTGTAGTCTTAGCTGGGATAGGCCTTGTCTCCAGTCCAGTTTACACAATTTAGCTGTTGGTTAACATCTGCTGGTTAACTTGACTTTCCTTTAGTGTAAAACTTAAAAACAGGTTGGTGCCGACCCTAACACTAGAGGAAGGATGAGTAAATCTATTGATTTGTGCAACTTGTTCAGGTTGGATTTACATCTTTCTGTCTTTACACTTCCCGGAGCACTACTTTAGACGCCCAAACAATGATCAATCGTCTTTTAATGTAAAAACTTGTGTTTAGAAATTGAACTGATGCTACCACTAAAAGGCACATTTTCTCTAGACTACATATCCAGTTTTGGGGCAGTTCCATTTTGTTATTATGTTCATGTGTATAACATTGTATAACAGTCGTTATAGTCTCTACCTTAATTTTACACTCCCTTATACTTCGACTCTTGTTTTTTGACAATTGTGGAAAACTAATGCAGTGTGTTCAGTGAGCCTACATTTGTATGAGTGAGTCTGTTAGACATATGAGTGAAATCGAGTGATGCTGAAGTCTTAGGATTCCTTATAGTTAAAGTATGACAGGCAGTTCTGCTTAAATTACTTTAATGAATAGCATGTTTTTAATTTGTTACATTTTGTGTTCCTTATTAACTTTAAAAATGTAATTTAGACTTGCGGAACAATTATCTTTTTCTAACCTACACCAGTACCTAGTTTTATTATTTAATCATATTTCACATTAACAATTTATTGCTAATATTTCTATTCTTGTAGCCACTTTGTAACTTAAAAATATATTGAATGGAAGGCATATTCTAATTTGATTAGTAGGGATAGATCACATTATTCCACCTTTTGTCAGCTTAATATCTGTTCATTTCTTCAATGTTCAGTGCACCAAATGTATATTCTTTGGAAATGCTTGAAATTTCTTATTTACTTTATAATATTCCTTCAGTTCTGTGCTTCCATGAGTTTCCTGACAAAATAAGATATGTACGACTCATTAGATACGACTCCCACTGCTTTGCATCACACTTTTACATGTGTATGCATTTACAGTAGATGGGCACCTTGTGTGCAACACACACAGACATACGCATATGCGAGCACACATGCAGAGTGTGAGCAATGCAGTATAATAAGTAGCGTGGCAGAAATGTGGTCAGCTTTGCCCCATGTCCAATCATTGAGAAGCCACATGAAGGCTTCTCGGTATTAAAGGACAAGCATTGGTTGGCTGGGAGGGAATCTGTCATGCAACAAGAAAACTGTGTTTTTCACCCTTTTCCCCCCTTTCATGTCTTTTCTGTCTTTTTTTTTTAACTCTCCTGTCCAAGTTCTGTGTCTCTCCAACTTTTCTCCTGTTTCAACCCCAGTTTTTTTTTTCTTCTTTATTTCTTTCAATCTGTGGCACATTAGACTTGGTTGTAATATTCTCCAGCTTAAAATGCTGGGACCACTGGAATGTTCCGTCAAAGAGGTGGGCGGACCTAGGGGGCGGGGCAGACCAACATAACCAATTAAGGAGGAGATTGAGGTAAGACGGACAGCTTCTAAATGGTGTAATAACAACCTACTAAAATGTAATTACAATGCAATAGCAATAGACACTTCTAATGACAGGATGTATATGCCAATGTGATTTCCTAATTATGGCCTGGGCATAATGGGTGACTGTTAACATGGCGTGGAGATTATAGAGAGGTGTCTGAATGCAGAAATTCAACCACATGGACTAGTTACAGTGCTGAAGGGCATGGGGCACTGAGATACGTTGGCATTGATCAGAGGTCCAGTGTGGAAAATTGCAAAGTAGTTTTTTATTCAGTACGGTAGAATAAGATTAGGTAAGTGACTTCACTGAGTAATTGCAAGAGCAGGTTAGCCAGAGAAGGTTTTTTCATTCATGCATTTTTATCTGCATTCAATCAGGTATTGTTATTGCATTTTTGGGGTTTTTCCTGAAATGGCATGCCTATTCACATTCCATCTATATATCAGCGTGTTGTACTTGTGTCATCCATCCATCCATCCATCCATCCATCCATCCATCCATCCATCCAT